AAAAAAAATCCCTGAAGAAAAATCTAGTTTTCTTCTTGAGATGAGTTCTGTTTTCAGTTTTCAAACAAAGCTAGAAATTCTTGGTTTAAGTGCTATCAACTACATTCCATTTAACCAATTAAACATATAGATGACTACAGCCTCTGGCATGGAGAAAGAAGAGAAGTGAACAGAGCTCTGAAGGACTCTAGCACTGAAGAGGATGCAGAGAAAGAGGAAGGACAGTGAAATACAAGAACTAGAAGGAACGGGAAGGGAAAGAGAAGCCCAGAAAGATGAGGTCAGAGGAGCCAAAGAAGAGACGCACTCCCTGGAAGAGAAAGTCACAAAAATCATCAGTGGTAGCATAGGGACAGCTATGTCCAGAAATATGCCAAACGAGCCCATCAACAGTTGTGAGTACTCTCTGAGACAGCAGATGTAATTATCAGTAAGCAGAGAAGAAAGAACGCTCAAAGGCACCATTGCAGCATTAGAAATAAGGGGAGAGGTCCTGAGGAACTGCAACAATGCAGAGAAGTGCTTTATTTGCATCCATCTCTTGACTTGTAAAGAGGGGCTCTGGGGACTTCTAGAGAGTATCTTTGCAAAACCTAGATGGACATTCCAGATCAATCATCCCCTGGACAGAGCTCTGATGACCAAAATTAGAGGCAAATAAAAGTAGGGAAACCTCTACAAACTGTAAGCCAAAATAAAGCTTCCCTTCTTAAACTTCAGGTATCGGGTTTTTTTGTCTCAACAATGATAAAAGTAAGGTAGAATCTGGTATCAGAGAAGTGGGCTTGTTGCTGTGACTGTACCTTACCATGTGGTTTGGAAGCTTTTGAATGGGCTGGTGGGAAGAAGCAGCCTGGGAATTCCTTAAGCTATACTGCATCAGAGCTCCAAAGACCCAAATGCTAGTATAAATGCTGCTGGTAAGAAAACCAGGAGGTTCTGCTAGGAAGAGGGACTGCATTGCTTGTTACCCTCCAGGCAGTGTATATTATGTATACCTTGGTAGCAAGTTTGTCTGCATTTTGCTTGTATCCAGAGATGTTGTCTGAGACTTAAATGAATGGTATCAACTAATTAATCTTGAAGAAGAAATTTTGAGGCAGTCTAATGTTGAAGCAGTGGCATGGCTACTATTGGGGGCAATTAGCCACATCGATGTTGACAGCCAAAAGCAAAGATCTAAGCAGACTGATTTAAAAGGTTGTGAGTTTGGCCAGAAAGAAAGATTTAGTAAATCTGTGGACTGTAGAATAGAACAGCAGAGAACTTGGTAGGTGGGAAGGAGAAGACAATGGAAAAGAAGGCCTAAGGATGTCAAAGGAAGCAGCAAGGACTACAGCTTTTGCAAAAACCTCAAGGTTTCAAAAGACAGAGAATTTTCTTCAAGAAGCATCATGTTCCAGAGCACCATGTTTAGCATGGCAGTGGTCTAGAGAACTTGTTCCTTGGGATTGGATTCAGAGTGCTCAGCAAACCAGGTACTTGACCCTTAGTGCCAAGACAGAAGGAAGCCTGGCTACTGCTTCAGCTGGAGGCAGACATTGGCATCATCATATGGTGCTGGCTTTATGCATATGCAGAGTGGGACAGCTGTTCTCTAACAGCAATGGAACATCTATCTCTGACAAAACAAAGCAAAAAGGGGGGTATAAATGAAAGATCATTTTATAGTGGCATATATATAGATATATGTATATACAAAATAGGATACATATACAGCTACTTTCTCTTAGTTCAATGAGTAGAAAGATTTGTACTAATATTTTTTAGACAACAGATCATGTCTGTGTCTTGTACTGTGAATAACTACTATGAAGATAATATGCAATGTATTAGTTATCATAACTGTCCTAATAACTTGCTTTGAAACTGTCTCATTGATATTTCTTTCTCAATAAAATTTATTTTAGAAAAAGAATGGGAATGCTGTGAGGTCAGGAAGGCATTCACACAGATTTCGGAAGAGACAGTGTGAAGAACTGAGAGGGTCGTTTGTGAAGCTGTAAGTATGAAGCTATGAGTACGGTGGAGAGCCCAGAGACTCGGAGATGCCAGGAACATGAATAATCTGAGGAAAGCTGCAGTGACTAAGCAAAGATAGCCCAAAAGAAAAACCACAGAAGCTACAACCATCTCCAGTGTTTTAGGAGCAGAGCCACCCAACCCATTTGAGGTTCACATTTTGCCACAGATTACCTCAGATGCTGCACATAGATCCACAAGACTTAATGTTTTCCCTGATGAAGTTTGGGTTTATTTTGATCCCATTCCTTTCAATCTCCCTTTTTGGAATAGGAATGTTTATCTTATATCATTGAACATTGGAAGTACTTAACTTTTTTCATTTGTAGAGGAGGCTTGCAGCTAAGAGTTTGGCTTAAATCTTTGAGCCTTTAAACTTAGACTTTTCAGTAGTGCTGAAACTGTTAAGACATTGGAACTTTTGGAAATGCATAAAGGCATATTCATGAGTCTTTGAGGACCAGGGACAAAAATGTTATACCTTGTGTCTAGATGTCCCTCCTAAGCCTCATGAGGTCATAGGTGAGTTTTTTTATTCTAAAAAGCTGGATCTAACATGTGTGATACTGGGATTAAGTGTGGGATGCTGGGATCCCATTACTAAATGAGTGCATTATGCTCATTAATGAGTAAATGATGAGTAAATGAGTAAATGATGCTCATTACTAAATGAGTACACTGATTGTTTTAGCATAGTTCTGGGTCGGTTACTAGTGCCCCACACTGGGTATGAGTTCTACCTCCTCTAAGGGTGGATAGCCTGGATAGAAAATAAAAGTTAGAAAGAGAGCTGCTGTCATCCCTGCTTGCTGTTTGCTGCTGCTTCCTTTTTGCTATCTCCTGCATGTTTGCCATGAACTATTCCTCCTCTGCTATGCCTCTTTGCTATGGCCCCCCAGCCTTAGAGCCAGCCAATTATGGACTGAAAGTGCTACACCCTGTGAACTAAATAAATGCTTTTCCCTTTAACTTCAGGTGTTGAATACTTTATTTCTGCATAACTAAAACAAGAACATCACTATAACAAGAAACCAGAAAACTTGTCCATCCTCCTCTCATCAGCAAATTAGATAGTCAAATTACAGAGAAGCAAAGAACAAGAACTCTACCCAGTGCTGAATTTTGAAATCTTTTATTTCTTTCCATGTAAGTATCAATATTATTATTAGTGATATCATTAACATCAATAATTATATTTCCTGAGAACACCAAAGCACTAAATTCAGAAATATGGCTTAAAATAGGGAACCCACACATTATGATTTAAAAACATTATGACTTGGATTAAGATGTACCATACAAGAAAAACTATGAAATAAATTTAATAAATTTTTTATATTTCCTGGATCAACATTGGAATCCTTTAAACATTCTTTAAATAGAAAGCCACAAACTAACAATTGTTGACCCTTTTAAGAAATTGCCAAGGAGGCCAAAGGAAGATGTTTATCATGTATGAAGATAATAAAATTAAATCAATATAATAAAAGGGAAAGTAATCCCTCTTGAAACATAATAACAACCAGTGTGTAAACATTATGTGCATTTTGAGCTAATATTATGAGAAATAGATTCTAAACTATTAGAACATTTAATATTCTTGTCATTTAATATGAGAGGAAAGCAGGGTACATAAATACAGTTATTTGTCTCAAGTCCCATGGCTAGTTAATAACTAAGTGAAACTGAGAATCCCCATCTTCTGACTTCTCTATCATGTACCAAGTATAGGTTAATTATCCCCCTGTAGGATGTGACTTCAGGGTCTGAGACACAGAACAGATCTATTTTGATGGGTAAAGGGTGGAGGCGTGAGGTTGGTGCACAGCATCAAAGCTCGGTGTGGAGGAAGGAAGCACAGACGAGCAGACCAGGACCTCTGAAAGGAGTGGGAGGTCCTCTGGGAAGAGGCACCGTAGCATCAAACACATCAAACAGCCCAGAGAATTTAGGAGGCTTAATCCAGGCCTGTGTACCGAATGCCCACAAGAAATACAGAAAAAAGCCAAACTGGAAAAAAAAAGGCAAATACAGCTTGGCATGGTTTCTTATCCCTATAATTCTAGCACTCTGGGAGGCTGAGGCAGGAAAAGGACAGGTTCAAGCCCATCCTAGACAACTTAGCAACTTAGGAAGATTCCCATCTCAAAGCTTTAAACATTCTTAAAGGGCTGATGATGTAGGTGAACGTGAAGGCCTTGGATTCAATCACCAGTACCAAAAATAAAGTAGACATACATTAAAAATATGATCTGTAATCATAAACATTTACTTTTCCAAACATCACTTATTAAGTAACAGAACTTTTCAAAACACAGTCAACAATAAAAAAGTAAACTATACAGAACAACATACACATATCCATATTCTAAGGAACCAAGGCATGTCAGAATCCAAGAAAATAATTTGACCCAATGATTTTGCAATGACAGTGCTTAGCCATAATCATAATTCTCTGACTAGATTGGCAGCCAGTCAGAGCTTGACTACTTTTACCTTACATATAAGTTCTTCTACATATCATTTAGTTAGCTTCTTTCAACAACAGGTTGGACTAGAAAAGTGGGAATATAGGGCGAGATAAATGCTTAAGAGGAAATAAGAAACTACCAAAAAGTAAATCCAAGTGATACTGAGACCACTTAGTGTGGGGACAGTTTTCTGTCCTCTTGGAAGTCCTAGACACAAGCATTGTACTTCAATAGAGGACAATCCCTGTGATGACACAGAATCATCAGAAAGATCTTATGATATGTTGTATCCTCGAATTGAGATAGCCAAGAAATGTTTGCTACAATGTAAACACATAGATAGATATAGATATAGATATAGATATAGATATAGATATAGATAGATAAAACATTTATATTTGTAAGCTTTGGCACAAAGAACTTACAAATTATCTGGAAATTTGACTAAAAAATCAAAAATTTCCCCAATGATATATATATGATATATTATCAAGTTAAGGGGGGACATTTAAAGTACAAAAAAGGGATCCTATTTCCTTTAAGTCTTGATATTGGATGATTGTCCAGTGTCAATGATCAAGGTAAGATCACATGGGGTATTATGGACTGTCTAGACAGGGATCATTTTTTTCCAGAAGGTACAATAGCTTCTTAGTGCTCTTTGACATAAAATCATCTTTGATTACAGCATTTCTTCATTTTCTTTTTGATACCAGAAATGTGGCATACGTGTACAAGGCATAGTGCCAAATGTGAATCTCAGTACAGACAGGGAAATAAGCATGTGCCTACTCTGATAAAGACTACTTTTTCCTCCTCAGATTGTTGAAATCCATTATTGACTTTTACCCTGAGAGTTTATTTATTACTGCACCATGTGATAAAGCAAACTTTACAAATCAAACCTCACATCTTTTCCACAGAAAAGTTTTTCTTGATTTTCTTTATGTCACAGATTAGATTTTTCACAGTATCACATACCCAGGATGATTCTTTGAAGAGAAATTTCTATTAAGTGTATCTGGAAACTGGTAAAGAAAAACACCCACATACATAACATTTCTTAAATAGCTATTTCATGCCCCGATTTTCACAAGATGATTTTCCTCTTGAACTCCCATCCAAATGAGACTATTTAGGCAATATGTAAACGGTAGCAGATTTAACCTTGGAGGACTATCTGTGGTTCCCTGGGGTGGGTAGATACTATCTTTCACAGGTTCATAACCTGTTCCTTGCTCCTCTTCACTTTGACAATACCATGCACATCATTTTCCAGAAAACAGTGGTCAATCATCTTACAGTGACATAAGGATATCTTGACAATTGCCTGACCAGTAGAAATAATGTAAATGAAAGAGACCCTTAGGTTTTTCATTCTCACAAAGTTGCCTAATGGGCTCAAGGCAATCAGCAATTGTGAGGAATGAGTTAGGTGGTTTGAAGATTATATGATAAATAAGGTTAATTGGTAGATAAAATAATGTTTTAAATATCCCTGAGTCAGGGTGTGGAACAGGATAGGCTTCTGCTCACATCCCATTGGCTGAGCTAGAACACCTTCATTCACAGGGAAGACTGTGTTCTGTCCACCCCAGCCTGGAGTTCATGCTGGTGTCTGGTTTGAAGTCTTGTATCAGACCCTCACTGGGGCACAGAATCCACCAGGATTTTGTTGGATGAGATACAGTTCTCCACCATTCATCTTGAGGTCTTCACAGGAAGTTTTCTGAGACTTCATACTCAAGTAGACTTTGTCTTTGTAAGCCAGAAAGACCACTGTGGTGAAGTCAACCTGCAGGTTCTTTCTCATGGGGATGGAGATGGGATTCCTACTCGTCCGGTAATGAAGGCTAATGCTGACCTCCTCCAGGAAGTAGCCCTTCACGGAGATGAAATAAAACCCATCACAGTTGATGATAATTGAGTTGTTTTCCACCTTCATGATCTGAGCATCATCTGGGACGAGGGACAATTTCTCTTTCTCACATCCTAAAGAGAGTATGATGAAAATTTGAGGGGAAAAAAATGATCTCTGAGCACAACATTTGACAACAATCTTACCCTACCTAGAGAACCAGGTGAAGAGAAAGTGATAGAGGAATATTGAAAAAAATGAAGGACAAAGAGCTCTGTTTCTACCTATGAGTTGGAATCTGTTTTACCTGTGGAATGAAAGGAGTAAAACCAGGAGAAACTCAGGAAGGACTGAGACTCAGACCTGAGAGATTACAATTGTCACATCATACCTATGGCAGAAAAGGTAGTATTGGGTCTCCCTAAGTTTTCAGAACTGGGAGACACTCACAGTTTTGATACTTTCTTGCTCAGAGGGTGAACCACAGGAAAGAGTGGCAACAGTGTCCCCTGACTTGATTCCACATATGACTACTTAGTTTGTCTCAAAGCTCTATCTGCCCAAACAAGAAATGCATATTTTTCACATGCTCTGGGCATCAGACTTCATTTGCTATTAGTAGTTCCCTATGTGTCACGATGCAGATTCAAAGTGGGATCAATCAGATGCAGATGGAAGAGGAGGAGGAAGAAGATGAGGAAGAGCAGCAGCTTTAGTAATTTTTGCAAAACCATTTCAAATACAAACAAAAAAGCCTAACTTTATTTTATTTCCACATTATCCCCAATATCATATTGAATAGCCAGGTAAATGCCTCTGGACATCTGTTTTGGATTATGTCACTGGGAATGGGAAAGAATACTTTCCCACAATTCAGTAATTCTTCCTTGTACCAGGCCCAGAAGGCATATTTTGAAGTAAAAATAAGCACTACTTACTGAGGGCAAAAGGCATTTCCCTTTAGGCTCAGAGAACTTAACTAAGTAAATATCATGTCGGATCCATTGGTGGTTGGATTTAATCATAGACCCAAAGGATGTTCTCATAGTAGTCTAAGTATCTTTTTTCTTCATATCTAGAGCCTTTCTCAATTTTAATTAAGGTACAATATTTTCCTAGAATAGAATTAACAAGTTATGTGCTTTTTTGCAGTCAGACAGAGTTGTAGAAAGTAAAGTCTTAGTCAGTCTCCTTAGCTGGAAAAGTCAAGAATTCCTACTCAGAGAATTCCTGGGGTAATTAGATGAGACATGCACAGTGCAGAGACAATCATGTATTGTTGTGACTACTCCCTCCACTTTGTAATGTGTATCTTTTTTGTTTCTAATGAAAACAACATTCACACTCTGAAAATTTGAAGTACAGGAAGAGAACAGATCTTCTATTCTGGAAGAAATTAAGAGGCTAAAGAAAGGAGATTCTTTTAAAAACATGAATCAACTAAACTTTTGACAATACTTACCAGTAAGCAGTACACTAATGCTTTGAATTGGAGGATGCTGCCCCTAAGGGAAGAAAAGAATATTTTTGTAAAGTTAATAAATGAAATTTGCAAGTCATACCAATGAAGCAGAAATACAATGACTTATGAGGGAGAAGACTTGGCCTCTTTTATGAGAACTAAACCCAGAATTACTCCCGAAATCTCCTTTTTTGTAGCATCTTTTAACGTTAAGTAAGATTATTCTGCTCTCTCATGTAAGCATCTGAGATCTATCATCATTTCTGCCAAGCTCTTCTTTGGTAGATTGTTTTGGCTTACTTGGTCCCAGATCTCCAGTTGGATAACAGTGTACTCAACAGCCTGGGTTAAGAAGCCTATTCACAGAGATTCTCTCATGGAAGATTCTTTGACCAGTCATGCTGTTATGGCCACAGACCCCCAAAACACACTCAGAGTAGGTTCTGGAAAAGCCCTGCATGCTTGTTCTGCAACTGTCATTTGGAGAAGTGCATCTTATTTTAAGGGGAGAGAGTCAACAAAATCTGAACTTTAGAGTTTGCTTTCTTTTTTCTCTCTTTTTTACACATCAGATCTTTCCCTTCTCTTCAACAGTTTGAAAAAATTTGAGCCAACTCAGTACTTAATAGAAAAACAAGAAAACAATGAACAAAAAATCTTGATAGATAAATTGCCCATGGTCATTAGGTTACAAAGACAATGAAGTTCAACATGAAACAAAAATGTCGATTAAATGAAATTACAACAAAATGAAATATAAAGTGTATTGCCATGTTTGTTTAAGTAAACCCTTCTGTGGGGAATTGAATATATCTGAAAGAATGTACACACACACACACACACACACACACACACACACACACACACAGGTTGTAAGCTTTTCCTCAGGAAAAAAAAACCTGGACTGCTGAGATCGGGAATAGAAATGGGATACTTACTTCTCCTGATATACTTTTGTTTCCCATACCATACGGTTGTGTTCCCAACTAAGAAAGGAAATAGGAAAAAAAAATGTCTATTGTGCCTGCCAAGAACAACAGCTCTACCCACGAGTTTATTTTTGGCAGGATGTCCTAATCAAAGGTGTGGGGAGAGATTTGTTTTCATGCCCAGGGCAATGGAATTCGTGCTTCCCACTCTGCTGGCAGAGTCCTAACCTCAGTCAAGCAGACGACACTGGGGACTCCCCACACAGATGAGGAATCTCCTACTTGCTTTGTGATCACAGGCGTTACCACACTGAAGCCAGCAAGCAGTGCAGGAAGAAGGGAGAGGCCTTTTCAGCACTGCAAGTGGATGGATGTGAGTTCATGTGATAAGCCTGTGAAGGAAGTGCTTACTTGGGTCCAAGTAGAAGTCTATGGCTCCTGTCTCTCTTGGTAGCATTTCCAGAGATCAGGCTATTGTTATTTGTATTTAAGGCAGCACTCTGAAGAGGATTTCTCAAGAGGGTATTATATACTACTACCACCACCACCACAACAATCCTCAAGTGAACAATTGCTACCATTGTTCTCAGGCTCATGGTGCATGTATGAATTGCCACTTGTTAGAGCCACAAAGATCTAAAAAGGAACATAGGGCTCAGTGTGAAACTCTTGGTTTCCAATACTAGGCAGATATTTGAGCAAGTTTCATAAGCACTCTAAATATCAGTTTGTCATCTTTAAAAACCGCTAGAAGACCATGGTCATCCCTTCCAGCACTAACTTTCCATGACTTAGATTCTAAAAGTTGTAACTCCAAGTCTTTTTTAATAAAAGAGAAAAAAGACATGAACCTTCCACATTCACAAAGTTACTAATTGCTCTGATCTGAAAGCCTTGATGATTTGATTACTGTGAGTGACTTTACAGAATCCTCTGAAAGATTCCTGCTAATCAAGAAATTTCCCAAGTTTCTGAAGTACCCTGCTACTGTGACGCATGAAGGCTTCGCTTGTTGGGTTGATCTACAGAACTCCAGCCTTAGACCATGACATAACAGTACAAAAGAAGTTATCTTCTCCCTGGACATTATATTTTACAGATGAAAATATTAAGGCCTGCAGAAGCAAGAAGACTGGCCCTCTAATCCTAGTACAATTCATATTATATCACACAAGAGGTGTTCTTCCGATGTAAATATGGAATGAGAAGTTGCTATACAGACTAAGTTAATCTCCCATTCTCTGTGATATTGTATCTACTTCAGTACCAACCATGAAGCAAATTTGCCACACAGCAGATTGGAGACGACTTCATCATGAGAGGATATAGGACAAATTTAAGGCCCAAACTTCCCCTCCTTCATCCAACTCCACAACCTTAACTTCAGTCCTGCCATATGAGAACTAAACAAAACAAAACACAACCAAGTACCCACTTAGCAAATATGAACTATTTGACCAACTGACCCAATAACACCTATATTGTGTTTATCTAGAGGCAGATAATGATGCAACAGGAAGGTTTGCCAGCCCAGTGGTCCTTAAGTGCTAATGTGCATGAGAATAATCTGAGAAATTTGTCCAAAAACATGAGTACAGATGGCCAGTTTATTCACAAAAATCCTCTTACAAAGGGTAAGGTGTATCCTCCTGAAGATCCAAAGTGCAGAGACAGTAGTTTTAACCACCCTGGGTGGTGGGGTGGAACACCCATCCTCAAGCTGGTGCTCATTAGACCTTTGCTTTACTATGAGAATTATCCTGTAATTGAAGGATAGTATGATTACCATGTAAATTGGTGGTTTGGGGAGAAACTGGATCAATAATTATTAAGGATTGCTACATGGCAAACATTACACTCAACTCTGGAAACACAAAAGTATAGAACATATTGTCTTTGTTTTCATCAATCTTGTACTCTGGTCAGAAAAATAGTACCTCTACAAAAGGAAAAAAAACACTTTTAGTAAATACCAACAGGCAACACAAACTGTTAAATTTCAGAATACTGAAAAAAAAATCATCTTAGGCTTTGGTTGTGAAAGAAGAAAGAAGCCAGAACTAGGATTCTTGAAAAGAGAAGAGAGAAAAGATCCAATTGTCAGAGAGGTTCAATAGCAGGAAGAAAGGTCTGCAAAGTAAACCATTTTTGTGTTTTCAAGAAAAAGATTGAAAACTCATTGAGAGCTTACAATATGCCCTGCACTTCAGTAAGCTCATTGTGAATATCATTCATTTGCTGTGCAAAATAAGCCCTGTGTTTTACAGACAGGAAGGTGAGAATCAGTGCTATTAAGAACCTGCTCAGGAATAAAAGGCAACACCTTGAACTCAGTTGAAATCCAGGTTCATGCTAATATTCCTTTTCTTTATCCTACTCAATCTTGAGAATAGAAAAATACATAGGAAAGCATTTATCCTGGAGTCCAACATTAGTTTGAACTATGTTCATCAGGAATATTAAATGAGATTACTTTTAAAATCTTTGTATAGGGTTGGGGAGATAGCTCAGTAGAATAAATGCCTACCTGGCAAGTGCAAGGTCCTAAGTTCAATCTTCGGTACCACAAACAAAAAACTTTGTATAGTTGTTGAAACACTCTGATATATTTTAAAATACCCAGATGTTCTCTAAAAAGAACTCCTCAGTCAGCCCTACGGGGGATGTCTGTATAGTGTACATTACAAAGTTGTTATCTGGACTCTGCCCAGATGTAACTGTCCAGACAAGGAGCACCAGGCCGTGCCCAGGCACAAAATAGACTGCAAGGAGAAGTAAAATTAGATCCTTTCCTGGCCTCTCTCTGCTTTGAGTGCTGGGCTGTTTAAGAATATAGATGAAAACTGGGCATGGAGGTGCATGCCTATAATCCCAGCGCTGGGGAGGCTGAAACAGGAGAATCACTACAAGTCCAAGCTGCATAGCGAGACCCTGTACCAAATACGTAATTTAAAAAAAAAAAAAAGAATATAGATGAAAAAGTCTGATGCCTAGTATGTATCTAGCAGCCTGTACCTTGTTTCCAAGAAGAAGGTACTTGTTTCAAGAGCTCCTCTTGGGAGAGTGTAAGCCTCTGACTCTGACTCACTAGAATGTGGTCTGGGGCTGTCAACCTTATATTCATTTGGCATTTGTCTAGTACGAGGTGTCTAGTCCAAGGTGTCTGTGGCAGGAGCCAATGCTATTCATCAAATATGAAACCAGCACATGGGTTCCACACTCACTGCGTGACAGCAGGCCACAATGTCAGGTCCTGGGAAAGATTGGGGCTGAGGTGTGATTCAGTAGAGGATAATAGAGAAACAGACCTGTGACAGTGGCTTGCTGGCTCACCTCCACTGGGACAGAACTGCTTATCTCCCCACCTCGGGCTCATGGCTAACTCGGCAGACCCACGATATCATAAAAACACATCACAAGCTCTCAGAGTGTGTCTTGAGGGACCTCAAAAGAGAACAATGGACAATTCTACACCTACCCAATACAGTAGACTGAAGGGACAGACTTTTATCATAGAGCAATGATGATGAATCTTTTAGAGACCAAGTGCCCAAACTGAAACCCAAAACTCACTTATTTGTGGCAAAGTGTCAATGCTGCAATGAAATCTGCGTGTTTGCCTGCTGGAGCAATGCCAGAGAAGGCTGTGCATGCCCACTGCAGCATGCTACCTTAGGCTCACCACCGATGCACTAGAGGATTTAGTGTGTAGTTCATGAAAACAGCCCTGATGCAAATGAATGAGCCCTTATTTCTGATCAAGGAAATTCAGAGCCCCACCAAGGGAAAGAAACAGGAGTAATGGGCAATGGGTTCTTAGGTCAAGGAACTTTCCATATTAAAAAACATCCCCAAGTTACGTGTCTTGAAGACAAAGATGTGTGGCCTTGAAGGTCAGTTTAAATGATGAATTTGCTGAGATTTAATGAACCTAGAGAAAAGCCATTCTTAGTGTCCCCCAGAACATTGTCTTCCACTCTGCCCATGCTGACAACTGCTGCCATTCCCTTTTCTCTGCACCTCCGCTCTTAACTTTCACCCCCAACCCCACAGCACAGCTTGTGTGGCATTTCTAACAACCTCTCCCCAACCATTCTGAGGCCTCTTATCAAAGCTACCCTTAAAGGTATTTGAGTCTCTCCTCAGAGGGACGAACCTTCCTCTGTCTCAGAGAACATGAACTGTGATTTCACTGTCCTTGATACTTTGAAACTGGTGGTTTCTAAGAGTAATCTCAGATATTCAGGCAAACGATGATGCCTTCTTTGTGACATGCACACATCTCGCAAACCTGCAAAAGTATTGATTTAATGCACTCCCTGTGTATACCCTCAAAGGGAAGAGTTTTTTCTCTTTCTTTCTTTCCTTCTTTCTTTTGTGATACTGCGGATTGAACCCAAGGCTTTAGCAGTATGCTATATTCCCAGATATTTTATTTTATTTTATTTTATTTTATTTTATTTTATTTTATTTTATTTTATTTTGTTTGAGACAGAGTCTTACTAAGTCACTAAATTGTCTATGCTAGGCTCAGACTTGTGATCAAGCCCCTTCCTTAGCCTCTAGAGTACTCCCCTCCTCTCCTCAGTGACTAAGTCATAATAGATTTGTACCAGCTTAGTCTCTAGGGAACTGGAAGGATAGATTTGTAATGTACACACTTGTACTGTTATAATTCCAGCAATTTCTCAAGTATAATGGCACTCAGGAAATAAATGATCTCTGGACTAAGGTGGAATTTAACCCCTAAGATCATGTTGCACCAATTATTTGCTAAAGACCCTTAAAATCATTTTATTTGTCCTTGGATACAAAAGAAGTCACAGAATTACTACAATCAAAAATCTCTCAGTTTGAAATCATTTATTCTCCACCTCATTTGCTATATAAAAAGGAGAGCTTGTTGCTCTCAGGAGACAGCCGAGTAGAATAGAGCAGGCATTAGACTGGCTACAGGAGACCTGGATTCCAGGCTGCATTTGGAACCAGTCCTTTCCCTTGCTCAATTTCTAATATCCTTATTTCTATGCCCCATCTTAGCTAAGGTGTCTAAGGATATTCCTATTTCAGGAATTACGCAAACAAATCACAGTGTTCAGAAGTTAAATAGTAAGCATTTGGGCAAGAAGAAGCTTTTCTAAACAGAAATTTTTTTCAACATGGTTGATCCCTCTGCTGTAACAAAAGCAGCAGGTCTCTCTCCCTAGGTGGCTCTCTCTAAACGGTTACTGAGAAATAAATCCACATTATGCCCGGTGCGGTGCATGCAGTGAAGCATCGTTTGTGCAGGCTAAATGATCCTCAGTGGCAGGACAGGGAGCACCGGGTCTGCCTCGCTTACCCTTGCATCCTCAGTGCCTGCCAGGTAACCAGCTGCCCACAGCTGACACTGAAGCAGCATATGAATAAATGATTTGCAGCGGGCTGAACAGTGACTGCTTACAAATTCACATCTATCTAGAAGTCAGAATGTGAACTTATTTGGAAATAAGAGTGCTACAAAGATGATAACCAGAAGTAAATAGAGTTAGGATGGGCCCAAAGTCCACTATGATGGATGTCCTTAAAAGACTTCATACAGAGATACAAACAAGGAAGGAAACCCACGTGAAGATGAAGGCAGACTTTGGGGTATTGCAGCTCCAAGCTGAAGAACACAGAGCATTGTTGGGAACCACAGAAGCTAAAAAGAGAAGAAGGAATGTCGCCCTTCCAACACTTTGATTTTGAATAATCTCTAGTCTTCGGTACAATAAGAGAATAAATTCCTGTTTTTAAGTCACCTAGTTTGTAATAATTTATAACAAAAGTCCAAAAGAACAACTGCATGGTTCAGTAGGTATTTGTATACAGTATGCAAATGACATTGTCACATTAAGGCTGTATGATAGAATTAGAAAGGCCTGGGAGATTACGTAGTATAATCTCATTATTTAAAAAATATGAAATGAATATAGGCCTCCTCTATAAATATATCACATGTGCAATGCTTTGTTCTATAAAAAAACTTATAAAGTAGTATTTAAATGTTAAACCTGCATTAATCATGTTATCTACAGCATAGTAAGTAGATGTAAATTTTGTAACAGATCTTAAATCCTTCCATTTTTCTTCCAAAGCAACTGATATTAGAGAAGAAATAATTTTTATGCAGCCAGACAACATGAGTGCAACGAAGAGGCAAGTCCAGAATTTAGATCTGACCTTAATTTCTAACCCTGACCTTTCTATGAGACAGTAGACAAATCTCTAGGCCTCAAATTTCCCCAGCACATAAATGTCAGTCCTATCTTTCTCAGGGATGTAACTAAGAAGTAAGAACTGAAGCAGGAAAAAGCTCCAAAAAAAAAATGAGGAACTGTCAATGCAAGTAGTCCCTGGAATCATACTCCTTGACCTCCCAGTTACGGATCCCCATCCCCACAGAAATAACTTTGAATTCCCAGGGTACACAGTCCCATACACAGGGCCAGGTCTATATCTTGAGGGGCTTCAGAAGCTAAACTAAAGAAACGCCAACACACAAGTTATTCAGAATATATGGCCTACTACTAAACTGTAAAAGCCAAATTTTACAATGTACTTTATAACTCACCAAAGTATTTTACAATTCCCATCAGTGAGTATTTGATGTTTCTTTATCATTTCTGTAATAGTAATTATTACCTCCATTCTTATCTTTGACCACCCCCACAAGCTTTCCTAGCCCGTGCTCCGGCAGCCTGCTCAGCCCCACCTTGAGTGTCTGTCACTTAAGCTCACAGGAGCCCTCAGTTCTCCACTTTTACAATACTGGACATATGAAGGCTTTCAAGGCTCAAGCTCTTATTAAATAAGCATAGGATGAATTAAAGTTTGGGTCTGTCTCTCTTCTTGTCAGTCAGTATGTGTTTATAAGTAGTATTCATATGTTCTGAAAGCTAGATGAATTTTCACATTTTAACCCCCTTAAGGCACATTTCAGAATGAAAGATCTACCAAACAATTGTTATGCCCGGCACAGCTCTAGCATTTCTAGTACTGTGAACCACACCGCTCGTCTCTTATAGACATAATTTTCTACGCCATTAGCAGCCAAGTCACTGGAGAACTGGGTGAAATGTGTCCAAATGAAGAGAAATGGAACCAGGCTGGGTCATGTCTTCCAACTTTGTAATTTGAGATTCGTGAACTGCTTTCCATCAGACACTGACCCTAGTAACAAACCATGCCCTTAAAATTCTCCCTTCCTTTCTCTTTTATTTTCTAGTACTACTATAAGGTCATAATTAGAAATCTATGTTCAGAAATAATCAAACTATTTCAAAGTAGATTTTTTAATCCTTAAAATTATACAGTTAAACATTGTTGATGAAGTTAATCTTAACTGTGATATGCTTTCTGAGATTCGGGTTATGGGTCATGTGTGAGTGTGTTTATGCATCTGTACTACAAAGTAAATACTTCAGTGGCAGTGTGCTTAAGAAAGTATGGTTGTAAAGCGCCGGCCAAATAGTTTAGTGGATTAAAGCGCCCGCTTAGGCAGACACAGCAGCCAGGGTTCGATCCCTGGTGGCCGGAGTTTGATTTCCTGGCATGCTTGCCAGCCCTGCCCCCCAGGGCACTCTGATACTGTGATTGAGACTGGGTGTGGCAGTGTGTGCCAGTAAGACCAGCTCTTTGGAAGGCTGAACACAGGCGGATCGCTCTGCCTAAGCAGGCACTTTAATCCTCTGAGCTATCTGCCCGGCCCCTTGAGAGTGTTTTAACATCTTTAGCTAAAAAGATGTGGTTGTCATGGGTAATTACAAACAAAATATACAAGGCATAGGATGTGGGAGACTTTTTGGTCAACCAAAATCTACTATGTATTTCTTCTGTGGCTGTAGGGAAATAATCTTTTTACTTCGGAGATCAGAAGTTCCACTGGTTTTGAGTTTGTTGCTGTTGTTACTGTTTGATGTTTTTTGCTTTTTTTTTTTCTTCACCATTTAAATACTGAACTCAACACTATGCAAGCCTCATCCTACTCTCATGACTTCAAGGGATTAATGTTCATTTTTAGAGAAGGGAAAAATCCCTGAAATGAGGTGGGGCCTTCAGATTCTCTGACAGTAACAGACATAAAGCAATTGCTATTAAAAGAAACAGAATTGGAGCCGGGCCCTGTGGGGACTCCAGAACACCAAATCTGGAGCATCACAAGTTTGAGCCAGCCTAGGCAATTTAGTGACTTAGCACAACCTCATCTCAAAGTAAAAATAAAAAATAAAAATGATGAGGATATAGATCAATGTAAAGTTCCTGGTTCAATCCCCTGTAAATGAAGAAGGAAGGAAAAGAGAGAGAGAGAGAGAGAGAGAGAGGAGGGAGGCAGGGAAAGAAGGAAGGGAGGGAGGGAGGAAGGAAGGAAGGAAAGGGAAGAAGGGAGGGAAGGAAAGAGGGAGGGAGGGAGGGTGATCAACCTTCCTCCACAGCTGGTCTTCTTAGCACTAGTAGCTAAAGGCTGAGGTCATAGATACCGAGTATGGAGGAAGCATAGATCCCTAGGTCTACATCAAATGCATTTCTGCTCACTGCCCAATTATTAAATATTTTCCAGCATAAACTCCACCCAAATTATTGTTCCATCCTGAGGACTTGGATCAGAATACATTTGTTTTTGTTTGCTTTTTTGTATTTTAGTACAAGGGTCTACAGGGTCTCACTATGTAGATCGGACTCGTAGTGATCAGCCTGTGTTCAGCCTCCCAAGAGCTGGGATTACAGGTGCATGCCACCACACCCAGATTCAATCGCTGTCTCAGCATGCCCCAGGGGCAGGGCTGGCATGGCACTCCAGGGGTCGAACCAGGCCGCTGCTCTCTGCCTAAGCAGGCGCTTTAATCTGCTGAGCTATTTGGGCAGCCATGGATCAGAACATATCTGTACCTAAAATTTTCCTCTAGAAAACACCATGATGTAAACAGTGAAGAATATTGGCCTCTGCCACACCATATTGTTCATCCTGTTCTCTGGGTGACACTTGGCTTCCTGAGATGTTTTGCACCCTATCCCCTCAGAAAGAGGTTGTAGTCTCTTAGGATATGGAGATGGTTAGTTTTACTGTGGTGCCCCCTAGTGCCAAGTGTGATTAGACTGACTTCTGTATCTGCTAATACAGCATAGAAACCACATGAAAGGAACCAAACTTTGAGACACAACGGTGTTGATCATTGTTCCTGTATTTTCTTTGGCATAGAATGGAATGAAAT